TTTGAATGGAGATGCGCAGCGGCTCCGCTGTGTCTTTGTTTTAAATTATTATCAATGATGAAATAGAGCAAAATCAGACAATAGTGTTATAGTCAGACAATGTAAGTCACTTAATATTAACTTACTGATTTAATACAACAGTTCAATAAACAAGTTTGAAGCTCCCCTGAGCGCAATCGCAAATATGATGATGATCGGGTCAGTCGCACTGGTGCTCCTAAAAAAATGTTCATAGTCGCACGCAGTAGTTTTCAGTCGCAAATGCGACTGAAATGGTCGCACTGTAGAGCCCTGTATATATATATATATAAAGAACAAAATTCAAGCTCAAGCAGAGCAAACGGAAAAAATAAAGCAGACCGTGCCAATTACAGTACAGAACATACATACACTCGAATCGGCCTAAGTTTATTGTGTTTATATTGTTTCACATATTAATGTTGAGAAAAACAGTAATATCCACATGCTCGGGTGAAAGTTGGCTCCTCAGTCTGAGTGATAACAATATGAACGCGCGCCGACACAGACGTTCCAGAGACACAAAGATAACGGTGTGCTAAGCGGAGTTTCTTACAGCGCTTTGTGTTTTCTGTTCTTAAAGCACTCTCTCCCTCAAGGAAACTTAAAGGAAGCACATGTCTCAATTTCAGTGAAGATCATTTCACTGTCAGATGAGCTCTCTTCTCGGCTCACTCGGGTACAGCGGTGCTTACCTGCAGTCGTGAATGCAGTGATGGACAGCTGTCTTTCTTTAGTCAACTCTCGTTGTGGTGGTAATAGTATGATAACTCGGTTTGACCGATTCATTCGATCAAAAGTAATTCCATTTTGGAAGATCATTTATGAAATCAGTTTACCTCAAAGCAGTCAAAATATTGCATGGTCTAGTTAGTAGATGCCATAACTACAAAATTATATGGACTTCAGGGGGGGAAAAAGGTTTCAAAATCGTTGAATACAGACACATTTAAGGTTGACAGCTCATCTTAAAGTGGGTGCGACATTGAGTTGCTTTCATCAATCCAGCCTGTTAGAGGATCAGCATTAAAGGAATAAGACAACATCGATACGGCCATGGCTCTGACCAGAACGGCTCACCTTTCTCGTCTGCATCTTCTCAGTCCTGCGCCTGAAGGCCACATAGGGGTCATTGGTGCTGGAAACGTCCCGCTTTTCCTGCTTGATGGTTGGGATGAGGGATCCGTTTTTACACAGTTTCCTCTTCCTGCTCCAGTACTCAAACACCTCCCTTATCAGATCATCGTCCTCCTTCAGTAACAGCTTTGCTTCCTGTAGGGTCACCAGCTGTGGTACAGAATAATTTGGTTTTAAAAAAAGTAATCAGTAATAATAGCAACAATACTAATATATAAATATATAAATATATATATATATATAAAAACTGTAAAAATGAAATTAATAAAAAAAAAAACAGAAAAAAAATGATAGACCAATTAATATAAACTACAGTTTAAACGTTTCGGGTCAGTCAAATTTTTTAAATCGTTTTGGAAAGAAGTTTCTATTATTATTATTGCACTTTAACATTATATTTCTATTTGAATATTTTAAAATGTAATTTATTCCTGTGATCAAAGCTGAATTTTCAGCATCATTACTCCGGTCTTCAGTGTCACATGATCCTTCAGAAATCATTCTAATATGCTGATTTGCTGCTCAAGAAACATTTATTATTATCAATGTTGAAAACAGTTGTGCTGCTTAATATTTTTGTGGAAACTGTGATGCATTTTTTTTAGGATTCTTTGATGAAGAATAAATGCATGAATAACCGCATATATTTGAAATATAAATTTTTCTAACATTATGAATATTTTTACTGTCAATACTAGGGGTGTGACGAGACACTTATCCCACGAGACGAGACACGAGACTGGGTTCACGAGAACGAGACGAGACGAGATTTTTAGACTTTTTTAAAGAAATCCTCAATGATGAAATATATAAGGAAAAATAGTCTTTTAATCAACTGAAAAACACAATTCAAAAAAGTTGGTGCATTTTGAAATCAACTTGTACTTTACGAAATTAAACATATATTTTAATAAATTTTATGCAGTAATAACATTTAAACACTGCCAAATGTTTTGCTACAAACTCAACTGACAGGCAAGTAATTGCACAAAAATTATAAATAGTATAAATAAAAATAAATAATAAACATAAATATCCCTTTAAAGTGGAAGTGAAGCAGTCAGTCAAGTTTACATTATTTAGTAAACTGATTTCAACTTTAATAAAAAAAATATATAATAAACACGATTAATGTATCAATTTAAAAGAATAAAGCAGTGGTTGCCAAACTGGGGGGCGCGGCAAGGCTGAGGGATAGTTAGGGCCCTATGAAATCCGTTAAATTTTTTCCTAAATTCAGTTTTATTTTTTTCCAAATTCCGTTTTTTCCATTTTAATTTTTCTCGACTCCTTTTTAATAGTTAAATTAAATTTTATTAATTAAAAAGCATGTCTAATTTATTAAAATCATTAAACGTATACATTTTCACATCGATTTATTAAAAGTTTAACAAAAATTACAGGTTTAGGGCCCTATGAAATGTTTTATTTTTTTCTCACCATATTATTTATTGTTACCAAATTCTGTGTTTTAGCATGTCTAATTATTTGAATGCATAAAACGACTTAATTTATTCATTTTTTTTCTTAAAGTAGCCTTATTAAATTTTTTTCCCCTCAGAAATTCTGTGTTGTGTATTTAAATTTTTCTGGTTATCAAATGAAGGCATAAAATATTAAATTTAATTGATCATTTATCTTTTAATTATTGAAAATTAAGCAAACAAGATTTTTTGGCAAACAAAGGGGATTTACTATTAAAATTAAAACATGGAAGAAATGTTTTGTGTGATTATTCCTTGAAAAATATTGTTCGTTTCATTTTAGTAGTAGTAGTAGGCTATGTACATTCTACTGAAAAAATTTAAGTGTAATGACCTACTTTTGATTAATTCATTCAAAATTTGACAAATTAAACTGTGAATTCTGTTTTTATGACTGGATAAAGACTACACTGCGTAATGTCCCCGCTTATCATGCGGCCACTTGCCTGATGTAACATAAAATATCTTAAATACCACCACTTGTGAATGAGCCAGTGTAATGCAAATATATCTGAAAGGTCTGCGTGAGGATATCGTCACGTTCTCACGAGACCAGTCAGATCTCGCGAGACACATCGGATCTCGTCACACCCCTAGTCAATACTGATCCCAAACTTTTAAACGGTTCATCAGCATAGGCTGACAGCTGTTCATCTTTCAGCTGCTCTAGATATCTGCATCAGTCACCAATTTAAACTAAACTCCTGGTTTGTGGGATTTCAGGATTCCAAAGAGCAACATCCTGAATTCAGACAGAAAAGTTTAGCAGAATCACTTCAGCTTTCAATTTAAAGTTTCGAGCGTTTTTATTCTGCAGTTCTCATTGTAAGCGGCGAATCTTTTTAATAACCTGCTGTCCGCTGCCTTTCTCCAATCTGTCAATCATCTCCTCGAACTGCAGGGCCTCCACCTCCAGTTTCTTTTTCAGCTTATTCACAAAAACCTCATCCTCAGAGTCCAGATCGTAGTCCGGCTGCTCCGTATCTAGACTGAAAGCTGTGGGAAGAGAGGCAGTGGAAGTTAAACAGACTCAAAGCTTAAGACTCCTTTCAGATATTAGTTTTACATTTAGAAGTTTGCAGCAAGTTCTCAGGTCTGACAATATGGCCACTTTTCTTCATTCTTTCAAGGTTTCATCAAGGTGCAATTTTGTTTCAGCCTAAAACAACACACCCACAGAGCCTCAGATGCAGTTTACACGGATAAATTGCAAACACTAGCAAAAATAGCCAGTTTCAATCTGATTGGATGGCTGCTATAGAACTTCTGAGAGTTATAATGATTACGTTTCAGACAGGTCAAATTCCCAGTATTCCCCACTATGGATGGGTATCGTTTACAAGTTGTTTTAAACCTGAATGAGTTTCTTTCTTCTGTTGAACATAAAAAGTTATTTTGAAGAATGTGGGAAACCAAACAGTTGCTGGTCCCCAGTGACTTTCATAATTTTTTTCCCTTCTATTAAAGTCAGTGGGGACCAGCAACTGTTTGGTTACCCACATTTTTCAAAATATCATCTTATGTTCAGCACAAGACTAAATAAAAATTAATACATGTTTGGTACAACATGACTGAGTAAATAATTACAGAATTAAAATTTTTGGGTGAACTATCCCTTTAATGACAAGCGGTAGCATATTTAGTACTGCCGCTTTAAGAGCTGCACGCATCCGTTTTTCTCTCATCTGTTTACTTTCACTTTAGACATAATTAACTGTTTATATGTAAACCTTGTGTGATTTTGACAGTATTAGCGCAATCAGACGATAATTAAGATAACCAAGTAATCAGGTGCTGTTTGACCACCCTTTTAGTGTATGCACGCTTCGGGTGTACGCGCTCTGAATAAGCACATGTTAGAACAGCACGCGAATAAAACGTTTAACCGGCAAGGCTTTAAAGCACGTGGAAATAATGTACTTTTGTGATTGCGAATAAGTCTCGTGAGTGTAACTCTACCGAATCAATAGTTGATGTGAATGTGTCTCGCGAGTTTCAGTTGGAGCTGGAGCCGCGAGACATAACAGCACATTGCTTGAGGTAGAGGTTGTATTTTGTTAGTAAATTTTTCATTATATTACTAGTGTTGCCACCTTCGTTCACTCTACTGTATATATTGCATCTGACACTGGTGTCGCTTAGTTTTGTAACGTGAGCCCACACTTTCAAACGTTTCACTCTTGCCGCGATGACTGATCGCACGCAAACACACACAGCACATGCGCATGGATATCATACGCACGTCGAGCAAACGTCGGACACATCATTCAGTGAAGGAAAATGACAAGCAGCAGCTTCTAATTCGTCGTTAACATTGAAGTATACAGAGATAAAACAACGCAAGTATCGATAACAGTATCGTTTGTCCTGAAGCTTATCGGTACTCTGGTATTGACCCAATTACGTACCGGTCCAAAAAAATACCGGTTCTTGGTACCCATCCCTATTCCCCACAATTTTTCTGTAATTGAAGTCATAATGCTGCATGATGTGATAAAAACCAATGAGAACACATTTTATGATTAATATTCAAAGGAGCAAGATTTTGAGACAAAAACACAGTTTTTGACTACCCACTCAGCGAACCTACACGTTTTACAACACTAAGCCAGACAAAGAAACATCTAAGTGCATGACACACATCACTATGTTTACTGGCACTGCATTAACAAAAAAAAAGAAATAAAACCAAAACCAAGAAATAGCCTAAGACATAAAAAAATAAAGATAAAGTTTGTCTCAGAGCAAAGCATCTGAAAAAAAAAAAAATCACTTAAATTTTCTAACAATTTCTAAATAATCTTCTGTACAACCTTTCACAGACTCCTTTCGATTTTCTAAATGGGCTACCACTTTGTTGCAAACTCTTATTATGGTCGCATCGATTTCAGATTTACCGGCTTCTAAACGGCACATAAAACTTAGTTTTTTGTCCAAAATAAACTCCATTTAGGAGACCTTTCAGACACAGTCTGGTGCATGCTGGAGCTAACAAACAATAAATCAATGAAAACTCACTTGAGTGAGTGATGTAAAAACACACATCTTGCCCATCAAGAGTATTTCAGAGATCCCAAGAGATTTATTTCACTTCCCCATTTGAACCGTGTTCCCACTACAGTTCCCACCCATTTGAACGGTGTTCCCACTACAGTTCCCAGCGCCTCATCCTCACTTCCTCCATCTTGTCTGGTGTGTGTGGGAGCGTGTTCATACGCCCTTTGACAGCAGGACACCTCCTGGTTCCATTACAGACACCCCAGGGGCCACCGGACTCACTTAAAGGGTTAGTTCACCCAAAAATGAAAATTCTGTCATTAATTACTTACCCTTGTGTTGTTCCAAACCCGTAAGACCTTCGTTCATCTTCGGAACACAATTTAAGATATTTTTGATTATATCTGAGGGCTCTCTGACCCTCCCATAGACAGCATTAAGAGAATGCACTGATACAGTACGTTCAGCCGGCTATGTCTGCTATAGGATACTTACCAAGATGGGCATTTTGACAATTTTTGTATGAATTTGTCTATTTAAACACAATACTTAAGAGAAAGCTTAATATTTGCGAGCGTTCGAGCGCACGCACAAATCTTCTCACTGCGCACGTGAGTTCGCGTCTGTGATATTTGATTAAAGTATTTGAACGTTCGCCGGTTCCCGCCTCCTTCTTCCCGTGACGAACTACGTTACAGCGTCCTCTGGCTTTTAAATGTTTAAACTGGCAAAGGTTAAACAAGTTTAGCTTAAACACCGATATCAACGTGTGCTGTTCAGGTCTCACCTGTGCGCGCGCTAGAACAGCTTGTAACACTCCAAAGAGAAAGGAAAACTTGAAAATCGCATCATATGACCCCTTTAAGCCGCAAAAACAAGGAACAAAATCATGAGATTCAAGTCTTAAACCTCAACCGAGAAATGGAGACTGACTCATCGACATTTAGTAATTCCACGGTCATGTGAACAAAAACACACATACATGATGCAGAATATAGTTCAACAGCCAGTAAGAAATATTTACGGCCTGTAACTTTTCTCAAATCACCTGCCATTGGCAGATGATGCTCAAAAATATGCACAGAATGGTCCATGCACTCAAATAAACACACAACCTATGAAGAAAAGGGGCATTCTGGGGACATCTCAACAAGCAGACGAAGTGAAAGCCCCCAAACGTATAGGACGTGGCAGACGGTGCAGCCTGCAATCCAGAAACAGTCACGAAGAACAAAAAACAACACAAAACACCTGATGTTCAGGAATTGGCGGACAGATGTCGGTAACAAAGGCTTCAACTGGAGGCGGCCCATTCAAACCAGCGCAGATTCGGCTACATAAGGAGATTAAAATATCATCTTGTTGTGATGTTTGGTGCCAGAATTGACATAATACTGAAGGCGGTGACTGTGTAGTTCTGACGTCAACTTTTTACGGAATCAACGGTTCGTGAAAAATCACAGCTACGTTATGCAGGCTGTGTGCATTTTACTGTGGACTGACTGTTTTGAAACTGATATGGTAGTTAAATAGCCCCTAGACCTCAGTTATCGTGAAAAAAGCCAGGAAATTTCAGTTTTGACAATGTAGGACCTTTAAAGAAAAACTCCCTCAATAAGATCCGTGCACTCACGCTGTATGTGAATGAGCTGCTTTGGCATCCTGAAATCTCCGGGGTAGAGCGAGTCATAGTAGGTGATGTTGCTCTCGGCCTCTGGGACGGGAATCACCATGTTATCCCTCTTCTCTCCGTACACCTGCTGGGCAGAAATCGCCCTCTGGAGATGGTGTTCCTATGGCAACCATAAAGAAAGAGACACATGTTTCAGTAAACATTTCCATACACAAAGTATGAATCATGCTGAACCACAAAAAGTGAGTCTTAAAAGGATAGTTCACCCAAAAAAAAAATCTTGTCATTTACTCACCCTTAAGCAGTTTCAAACCTGAATGAGTTTCTTTCTTCTGCTGAACACAAAAGACATTTTAAAGAATGTTGGGAAACAAACAGTTGCCAGTAGCCATTTACTTCCATAGTATGGAAAATATACTATGCGAGTCAATGGCTATCAGCAACTGTTTGGTTACCAGTATGCTTCAAAATATATTTTGTGCCTAAGAGAAGAAAGAAAGATACAGGTTTGGAACAATTTTCATTTCTGGGTGAACTATCCATTTAAAATATATATAAGCTAGGGATGCACGATATTATCGGACTGATATCGGAATCGGCCAATATTGGCTTTAAATGTAAATATAGGCATCGGCCCGATATGAAAAATTATGCCGATATGTCTTGCCGATAAGAGGAATGCGTTAACTCACATGTGCTCAGGGTGTGCTAGTGATTAGATCACGTCAGCAGTGTGGCTCATTCTTGAAGCAAAGTTTTGTCTGAATGATGAGTAGATGACTGTTTGGACTGCTGCATTTAATCTGTGAAAGCATGTACAGAATGATGCATTCGGTGTATGATAGAGTAAACTGCTATAGCTTACATAAAAAAAAAAAAATCACAAACATGACACTTGTAAATTAAATAATTGTATACTGATTTATTCATTAATCTGCAATATGTTTTATTTTTTAAACAAATCATAAGCTCTAAAAGATTTTCAGAATTTTTATAACTCTTTTGTTTTAGACCATCTACAAATGTTAAATCTTAAAATAAAATGTTAGGGTTAACCTTGCATATTTCTGGGGGAAAAAATGCAGCGATTGATATGTTTATTTATAGTTATTTTCAAAGCTTCAATGTACTGTCAAAAAACCTTCATTATTGTTTATTTAATTCTAACAAATAAGTTCTTGTTAAAAACCAACCAAAATTAAAAAAATATTTTGCTTATAATTTCTGCACAGGAGAGACTTGGTGTTGTTTCCAAACAAAAGGAAATATATCGGTATCGGCCAAAATGAGTTGGAAAATATCGGCAAAAATCCAATATTGTGCATCTCTAATACAAGCTACTATTTTGTTGCATTATGTGTATTACCATTGGAAAGTCTGATTCATTTAGCGAATCCACTTGACATTTTGTAATGCAACAAACTGAGAAAAAGAAAAAAAAGAAATGAACAACAATATTTAGGTCAAATATTTCACAATTTTGCAATATATTCTAAACTGTTGTTTATGAACACTATTATTCATCCATACATATTCCAAACCGCTTTATCCTCAAATGCATCCAATGAATCATTAAAAGATTCAAAATCAAAAGAACAAATCACTTGCTAATTGAACGTCATTAGTGTTTATTAATTACGAAACACCACTGACTTTCAGGCCATTTGTAAGATATTTACCAAAGTACCAGAGTTCAAAACAATGTTTTGATTGTCGTCACGACTGTAGCTTGATTGCAAACAATGGATTGCATCATTTTTTCCACAAAGACAGTAAAAACACGCTGCAATGATCTGCCTTGGCTATTTTTTTCCCAGAAGTCCAATTTCTACAATAACCAGTGCTGAAGAGGCAATGGGGACAGTCCCTCAATAAAGCCAATTTGGTCTTTGAGTCATTCACTTGATCATTACTTCAAAAACTACACCGCATTCAAAACTACACAATGCATTTGTTTTCTCTTTTATCTCCCCTGTGAATCTGCAGTATAGATCAGATCATAAAACAGATGAGCTGTGGTTTCAGAGAAAACACAGAAACAATTTGAATGCAATGACCTGAACCGGTTTTCAAAAACCTCCTCAAATAAGTAGGCTGTGTAAACAGGCTGCATGAAACAAAATAAACCTACTCTAAAAGACATAAAAGAGAGTGCAGCCTCCAAAAATACACCATGTTGGGAAATGAAAAGCCTGAAATCAGCATAAAGCGCAATTGAACTCAAAGTCCAAATAATTCGCCCAGTTCGGCAGACGTCATGCACCCTAGCAGCTCATCTGAAATGATTGCACTTGGCGTAAGGAAATTAAAAACATTACACATGATAGCCTGAAAGCATTTCACCAGAGGAGCTCGAAGAAACTCAGGAGATAAAGTCGGTAATAAGAAAGCAAAAAAAGGTCTATTTACTTTAACGCATATTAACATTGTGTTCTTGCCAGCCATTGTTAGAAACTAACTTTCAATAGTCCATTAGAGTCCAAACTCTCTCTCTCACACACACAAACACACCTCGTCTTAAATGACTCAGCTGCGAGCCCTCACTGAAAGGTCTTACGCAAGGAGGAAATTATCAGCAGACAAAAGCTAGACTTTCTTTGGCACAGTCCTCTGAATAACCTTCGGATTGCAAAAGCTCCCCCCGCTGAGGGTGACCCCGTCACTGACCTCAGAGGATCATAATTACAAACAGATGAAGGGAGAGAAAACACAACGATCTCTCACACACACACACACAACGTCTCTATGTCAACATGAATTTGTTAAATTACTGAAATATTAAATTAAATTAATTACTTCACTTAAATATTTAGGTCAAATGAGTTTGACAAAAAGATTTGGGAATACGACTATTTATCTTATTTGATTTGTTTTGAATGACTGAAGTCTGACAACAGTGGAAAAACAGGTTCACATTATTAGGAATGTGCCCGAATAGTGAATCCGAATTCGTAAAGGCACAGAAAACGAATAACGTGTTCTACGGAGTCACTAAAGGGATATGGTTAGCCTCTTGCTAGCAGTAGCCAGTTACATTACAGTACATAAAATTTCAATTACCACATAAACAGAGTAAGGAGAGGTGACTGATAGGACAATGGCGAATGATTTGCAGATCCTGAGCACCACTGACAAAAATCTAATCTTGTGAAATGTGTGGCAAGTACTGCCGCTCCGTAATATACACAGAGTATGTGTGATCGTGAATCTCGAAAGTGAAAGTAAAAAGTGAGCGAGCATTCAAAAGCGATTTCAATGCCCAGCCCCCGCATATTAATAATATTGATGCCCGCACACACAGGGATCACACACACCGGACGCGTCACGTTCAGTTCAAGCGGCAGTCTAAAACAGTTTATTTAATCACCAAATGGGCAAAAGTTCACTTCAATGAGAGGAGTTTGATGTTTAAACAAAAAACTGAGCAAAAGAGAAAAGCGCAATCATTATTACAGCTCTCTATATGAAGCATACAGCCACAGAAAGATGGATGTAATGTGACCAGCTGAATATAAACTAATGCAAATGGACAGTAACAATCGTGACATTAAGCATATGTGTCAGACTTGCGTGTGTTTTGGTCACATTGTTTTAACCTTTTGAGGTACGGCTAATGTTTGCGTCCTCTCAGCCTTGATAGCAAACATACTGCTGTCCTTTCTCCACTAATGCAGCATCTTCATATCAATGATATGAAAACATGCACTACAGTATAATGTGTACACACAATTTAGTTGTCGATGTTTTAAATTCGCATCTGAAGTGTTCCGCTCTGTCAAGTGTCAAAACAAACAGCCAGAGATGTCAGTGATTCTGCCTCTAGAGGCCACTCTCGCTCTTGTACTGTATAAAGACAGCGGAGCTTCTCACCCACTCCAGCAACGGACGCAACCCGGAAAAACTACCAGCATGAATTTTAGCTGATAGCCGATAGTTCCAGCAATCAAATATCGGTGCCAATTAATAGGCAAAACCGATACATTGGTCAACCTCTAATATAAACTAGAAGTTCCAGTCTGCAACTCAATACACTTTTTAAAAATAATATTGTAGTACAAACTCAATCTCCCTACTGACTGACACATCCCTATCACTGCATGGTACACAATGTCACACCGCCCAGCCTTAACACCATTACTTCTACAGTAGTGCTGGGCGATATGATGATATTATCGTATATCGACGATATCTCGTAAGTATCGCGATGTTGATGCCAACAGTCAGGTAACAGACGATTATCGACATTATCGGAAAAAAATGACAAATGATAAACCTAGCAAGTTGTAAAAAATATTTTACATAGCCCCATCGTCACCATACAAGTCTCTTTGCATGCAAGAATGAAATAATTTAGTAGGAGGGTTGGGCATCGAAAAGCTATTCCAATTTCGGAAATCAGATCAGATGTATAAGGTCAGGAATCAAATGACTTGTTATAAAATTACATTTAGATTCTGCTTCTCGATTTCTGAATGGCTTTTATTGCGAATTCAAAAGATTCAACTAAGACGACGAAATAGAACTCACTTCTGCACTTGCGCGCTGTTTTCTGTGCTGCAACCACACAATTTTAGCTGATAGCCGATAGTTCCAGCAATCAAATATCGGTGCCAATTAATAGGCAAAACCGATACATTGGTCAACCTCTAATATAAACTAGAAGTTCCAGTCTGCAACTCAATACACTTTTTAAAAATAATATTGTAGTACAAACTCAATCTCCCTACTGACTGACACATCACTATCACTGCATAGTACACAATGTCACACCGCCCAGCCTTAACACCATTACTTCTACAGTAGTGCTGGACGATATGACGATATTATCGTATATCGACTATATCTCGTAAGTATCGCGATGTTGATGCCAACAGTCAGGTAACAGACGATTATCGACATTATCGGAAAAAAATGACAAATGATAAACCTAGCAAGTTGTAAAAAATATTTTACATAGCCCCATCGTCACCATACAAGTCTTTTTGCATGCAAGAATGAAATAATTTAGTAGGAGGGTTGGGCATCGAAAAGCTATTCCAATTTAAAGAACGAAAGAAAAGAAAATCCCTCACTGATCTTGACTGAATCACATTTGTAACCTCAGTTTATATTTTGTTTGCCTGTTGTTCGGCGCTGACTACTGTAAAGGCAACGTGCATC